TCACCACTCCTCTAGAGCAGATCATTTCTAAGGACCCCCTAGTGTAGAGTTCCCCGGCTTTGCAGTTAGTCCCGGCAGCGACCTACCCAGAGGTCCCCACCTCCCGAACCCAGTCCCCTCGGACGCCCCTAGGCGTCGCGGGCACTTCGCCCGCGGGCCGGACCCCGAAAGCTCCGGACGCCCCAACAGCGCCGCCGGGCCCCCAAGCGCCTCCTCCTCAACCCCAAATTCCGAGCACACAACTGCCGGTTCCCGCGTCTCCCGCGCCCGCCCCGCACCTCGCCGCTTCCCGGAGGCCCCCGCGGGGAGCCCGGCGCCTTCCGGAGCGGGGGCGGGCGGCGCTCTCCGCGGCTGGACCGCGACTCCGGAGGCCGCGCGTCCCCCTCACAGGCCCCGCCTGGGCCTCTCGCCTCAGCGACCCTCCGCGGCATTCCTGGCCCGGCTATGCCTCCTCCGAAGAGCTGGGCAGCGCGAGCCCAGGCCCCGGCACTTACTCGGGAAGGTAGGTAGACGAGAAGGAGCTCCACTTGTGCAGCGCGTAGGGCAGAAGCCGGCACTCGGGCACCGCAGCGACAGCCCCGCCAGCCGCCATCTTGTCAGCACCGTAGCGGCCGCCGACCGCGGGCCGCGCCGGGAGGAGGGAAGGGGGCGTGGCTTGCTCTTAAAGGGGCTGCGTCGCGCATCGCGGCCTCAGCCGCGCAGGACCTGGCGCCTGCGTCTGCAGCCCCACTTTAGGGTTTCCCACGCTGCCCAGGCCTTGCAAAGTAAAGCTGGGCTAGGGTGTGAGCATTGCGCGGCTCGTCTGTGAAGCCTGGGAAAGAGAAACTCGAAGACTTTCCTTACAGCAGAGGTAAAGACAAAGACGAAGACTAGTATGAAAAGAAACAAATTGTAGTTATGGACCAGAAAGGGAAAACGAAAAGAGCAACTTGGAAAAGAGATACTTTTACGACTTTGGAAAGCACGGCCGCTAACTAGTTTGTAAATCTCGCAAGGAATTAGAGAATCCGAGTGCAATTGCTTATGTTCTTCTCCTTCTGGAGTTGTCCTGGGAGGAAAAAAAGGGTCATTGTTACTCGTTCCTGATGGAGACGGGAAAAGGAAATGCTAGTGTATCCGTTCTGTTTCCAGTCTGTGAAGCATTTCTTCACTGTAAACATTTTTTTGTGAGCCTCTCTTGATAATCTTGGGGCATTGGTTTGCCAAAAAATTTCTTAGAGCTGGGAAGCTATGTGTCACTTTCCCAGTTGGTGCTTCCCACTACTAATTCTGATAGAACTGTAGCCCGAAATTCAGAGAGAGAGAGACACAGAGAGCGCGAGCGCGAGCCCGAGCCCTTGGGCTCTGACCACCATAATATGGGCACCATCCTAGCTTCTTTAAAAAAAAAAAAAAAGCGTGGTTTACACATCTGGCAACTTTAGATAATGTTTCCATGAAGTACCTGTTTATCAGGGCTATAAGTGAGCCAGGCGTGGTGGCAGACGCCTGTAATCCCAGCACTTGGGAGGCTGAGGCAGGAGGATCGTTGCAAGTTCGAGACCAGCCTGGGCTACAAAATGAGCTCAAGGCCAGCCTGAACTGCATAGCGAGACCCTGTGTCAAAAAGACAAAAACAAACAAACAAATATCAGGGCTATGCGTATTTATTCCTTGGCTTAGCAACTGAAATTACCAAAGTATTTATCACTCATTGTCTAGGAGGTTAGACTCCCAAAAGCCTGGGATGGTATCATCGTCTTCAGCTGATGGATGAAAAATCTCGAGCAAAGTGTTTCTCAGTGAATAACCAGGTGAATCAATAATTGTATTCTCCATTATGACCATAACCTGCCCCAGACATCCTCTACTCCAAATGTAGTCGTGGCCTCCATCAGGATATCGGATCAAGAACATCAGATAGAAAGGCCATAGTGTGTAAACCTTTAAGATTACCTGTGCTGCGTGCATTGTGCCATGTTGGAAACATCTTTGATCCTTGAGGGAATGCTATAGCTCAGGTGACCTAAGTTAAGGAACTGCCTGGGTCTGTGGGAAAGAGGTGAATCCCAGACATAATCCATGGTTATCTTTGGGGAAAAGAGATAATTTAAAGAGGGAAAAATTAAGATGGAGACTCCCTCCAATTAGTGTGAGCCTCAACATTTGGTAATGCCACCTCTTACCTTAATAAGTTCCCATTTTTCCCCCAGACATAGAATTATGTTTCCTGAACACCTAAAGAACACATATAAGGGTCATTGCGGTGCACACCTGTAATTCCAGCTACACAGGAGGCTGAAATGGGAGGATCTCATTCAAGGACAGCCTGCGCAATGTAGACCGTTTCAGAATAACACTGCAGAAGGATTGGGGCAGAGGGAGTGTAATACAGTGGTAGAGCACTTATCTAACCTGTGCTAGACCCTGGGTCTAACTCCCAGCACCCCAGGAGAAAACAGTTAAAAATAATGTATAATTTCTTCCTAAACTTGAAACTTTACAGTGACTTTCTATTCTGTTCTAAATTGCTGAAGTACTTGACAAATGCCCTTCATTACCTGCTGTATCTCTCCAACTTTCTTTCTCTCTCTTAGCAGCACTTCACTCCAGCAACACTAAATAGCATATAGGAGCATTGCCTTTATGTCCTTTCTTCTCTCCTTCCAGAGCTTAGTCTAAGTCACAGTCCTGGAATATTTTTCCCGTACTTCCCCTAGCTAACTCTTGCTTATTCTTCGGCCTATCCTTTTATTGGAAATCTTTCCTCATCACCTATTTTGAGGTTAGGTAATATTTTCTACATTTTCCTTTAGCACCATGAGTTCCCCCTCCTTAACTTAACAAGCATCATAATGTTTTAATTTCTTCTTTATGTCTTTATTCCTAAAAGATAACTCCCATAAAGATGAGTCATGCACACCTATTTCACAGTTGGATTTATTATAGCCTATACATAGTAGATGCTCAATAAATATTTATTGAAGAATGAATGAGTGGTGCTAAAAGAGAACTTGAACTAGAGACATGTGTTGTAAAAGAAAAAAATGCTAGAAATTCTCAGACTGCAAATATGTATCCCTCAGGTTTGACTGCCAGGCGGAGTGTAGAGACCCAGAATAGCACGGCTTTCCTATAGCACAGATTTCACAAATGCAAAATAACTTAAACATTCCTAGCTAGGTATAATAGTGCTCCCATGTAATCCAGAAGGTTGGGGCAGGAGGATTGCAAGTTTGAGCCCAGCCTTGGCAATTTAACAATTTAAGGAGATGCTTCCTGAAAATAAAAAGCAAAAAAGGCTGAAGGTGTATCTCAGAGAGAAGATTCTGAATTCATTTGTAATATTGCTACTAAAAAATATAAAGCATTCCTATGCTAAGATAAATACAGATATATTATGATACCGAGCCCAAAATCTGTATAAAAATTAAGATAAAATTGAAATGAATTTCAGTATGTTCAGGAGGGTGCTGGAGCTCCAGTGGTGGTAAACCTATGGCACATGCGCCACACTGCACTGTTATCACTGAAAGCTCTATCAGGTTCGCCATCACTGATGCTAGACTCTCAGATCTATAGGTATAGCTTTACCTTCGTCTGCCTGTGGGGCCTGACTTCAAGTGGTGGGGTATATTGTAAGGATACACAGGGATGGCCTGCAAACTGACAGTAGCCATGTAGTCTCTCTAGTGATTTTGCACTTCAAAGACAAGGATACATTGATGGCCTTATGGAAAACAGAAGGATCACAAATGGGCTATCATTTGTCAGAGATCACCACCAATTCTGGTGACACAATAGCTGTAGCAACCCAGTCATCTTCATCATCCCCTAGAGGCCTTTTCAGTATGTTTCTCATATTAAATGCTTCCCAGAAAGCCTGTATTTACAGTTTTGCTATCTACAGTCTTTTGCTACAGTGAAGACTTTGAAAGGCTGTGATGTGCCAGGCCCTGTCCTAGATGCCAGGAAGACAGGAATAAACAGATAAGCCTACTTTATGGAGCTTACCTCCTGGTGGAGCAACATAATATATAAGTCAACTAGGTAGTTTTAGTCTGTGCTAAATGCTAAAAAGATACTAAACCAGGGTAATTTTTAGATTGGGTGGTAAAGGAAGCTTCTCTAAGAAGGTAATGTTTGAGCTAATACCTATACAATGAAAAAGAGACAGCGTGGATTAAGAAACATTTTAGGCAGAGACTGGTACTCTTTATCAGTCAGTGTTTTACTAGAGAAACATATATAACACAAGATATACAAATGTATAAGAAATTACAAGATTGCCTTATGATAGTCAGCCACAGAATTGGATGAGGAAGTGTGCAGAGGGTGTCTGTACATTGGAGACTGAAGGTTTCAGTCCAAGATCTGGAGCTCACCGCAGTGTCCATGCAAGTCCATATCAGGAGGCCGATGGGTCAACCCTGGAAGCCTGAAGGATCCAAGGTGGAAGCTGAAGAGTCTGCACTGGAAGCCAAGAGATGATGTCCAAGCTGAAGGCAACGACTGGCATTCCAAAGAATGGAAGCCCATCTGTCCTTCCTCATTTCCCTTTTGTTATCCAGGTGATAGGCCACCCTAGGGTGGGTCCTCTACACCCTGGAGTATAGAATTGCTAAGCTGATTTAGTTAAGCTGCTAAACTTCTCAAGTTGACACAATCAATCAAGCACTACATACTCCTACAGACACAATGGTTTATTGAAGGAGATAAAGCTAGTCAGTGATAAAGCCAGACTCTTTGATACTAAAGCCCAACTTATTTGATGATACCACATTTCCTCTCAATGACCCAGTATATGGAAGAGATTTAGTAAACTGAAAAGTACTATTCAAATATAAGATAATGTTCAATAATAGTAATAATAAAGAGCAAACACAGCTGAGGTCATCTATTTGATGGAACACAGAAATTGGCTCAGGGCAAAAATTGTGTTTTTATGGTTAGGACAGGGATTTTATAGTTTTTAAGCTTATTAGTTCACACACTCATATAATAAAATACTTGAGACAGGATAATTTATAAAGAACGTAAATTTATTTCTCACAGTTCTAGAGGTTAACAGTCAACATCTAGGTGTGAGCAGGTTCAGTGTCAGTGAGGGCCCAGACTTTCTGCTTCCAGAAGTGGTGCCTTGTTGCTACATCTTCCAGAGGAGAGGGCTGCTGTGCCTTCATGCAGCTAAAGAGGTAGAAAGATAAAAACGAGCCTAGCTAGTTCCCTCCAGCCTTTCTATAAAAGGGCTAATCCATTCATGACACTGGAGCCTTCAGAGCTTCACTCTCCCCTAAAGGCCATACCTCTTCATACTGTTGCATTTAAGTTTCAGCATGAGTCTTGGGTTGATTGCAAACATTCAAACCATAGCAAAGGTAAGTTAGAATAAATCCATAGTTCTATATATGATTGGTTAAGACAACACCCCTAATTCTTTGGTCAGGGTAATACAAGCTTCAGACAGAAGAATCTGTAAGGGTCTGGCTCTCTCTGACCAGGATCACTCAAACTTCATCATCTCTTTGACAGCTTTCCATGGTTGGGACAGCTGAGGCACAACATAGCAGCCAGTGTGCTATCTTCTAGGCAACCTCTGCTATAAATGAGAAAATGTTCTTTTACATAGTATTATTCAACCAATGAGGAAACTAATAATCAAAAACATTTGCCGGGCATGGTGGCACATGCCTGTAATCCCAGCACTTGGGATGCTGAGGTAGGAGGGTCACTGTGAGTTCGAGACCAGCCTGAGCTACAAAGTGAGCTAAAGGCCAACCTGAACTGCATAATGATACCTTGTCTCAAAAAAGACCAAAAAAAAAAAAAAAAGATTAGCTGTCATGTATACAACTGAGCTCTTCAAAGATCTGAATGTGGAACCCAAATTTCTAATTCTGAGTCACTTTTTTTTCTAATGTACTTAATGTAAAATTTGTGAGGTCTATATCTACATTATTATTCTTTAAATCCTCTATGATTAACATATAGTAAGAAATGTTTCCTGAATTGAATGTCTTATTTCCTCCTAAATTTCTTCTTACTTATTCATAATTGTGTTTTAAAGAAACAATACACACACACACACACACACACACACACACACACAGGAAGAGAGAGAAGCAGAAAGAGATTGCTCAAGGGCCATCTAAAAATCAGCAGAAGACAGGCCAGAATTAATGGTCATGTGGACTGTTGATCCATTTTTTAGTCGTTAAGTGAAGAAAATCGCCAGGAAGATGAGATGTGAGCTTTCCCCATTATAATTCCCATTGAACTTTTCTTGCATACTGAAAACTTACATGTATCATCTCAATTTCACAACAGCCCCAAAAGTAAACTGAGGCTCTTGGAGGTAAAGATTCAGCAGCTCGTATATACACCTGGCTATTGTAAAATTCCCCATTGTTTGCATTCATAATATCACCTCAGGACCTAGGGTGCAGACATGCAAGAGAAGGAGTCTATAATATATGACTAAAACTTACAGTTCTGCTTCAATATTATCTCTGTACTCTCATAGTTCCCGTATTAACTCATTACAACCTTGTTATTGTTCTTTGAGGTCGTTTTGTTTTGTTGTTTGCATTGCTGGGGATTGAACCCGGGGCCTAACACATGCTAACCAGGTGCATTACCACTGAGCTACATCCCCAGCCCTCTAGACATTATTTTCTTTAAGCGTAACATTGGCAAAAAGAAGAAAGAAAGAAAAACAACCAATGTTTTGTTTGCTGAATAAGGGAATATCCCATTTATTTTCTGTGAAAAAGAAATGTCAGCCCTACCCAAAAGGTTCTTTGCCCAAGTCATAGGTGAACTCTGAGACCAGACTCGGATATGAAGCTGAGGTCTATCTTCTCCCAGGAGGTGGCAGCAGCTGCAGCCTTGGCCTGCTGGAGAAATCACACAGAATTCATTTGTTTTTCTACTGGCATCCAAACCTAGAAATTCCCAGTTCCAAAGACGACCTTATCCCTTCCTTGGTTTGCTGGGCTTGGTTGGAGCCAGGGCTTAGTGAGTGCAGGAGCTGGCAATGATTCTTCTTGTAAGTGGAACTTATTAAGTGCCTAGTTTTCTTTGGTAAACATTTTGGTCTGGGCTGTGACCTTGAAGCATGTGTGAAGGAGGATTAGGAAGTCTATGACCAGGGAAAAAGTGCTTTCAAAAGGAAACAAACAGTAACTGAAACACATTCACACGAGCATCCATCCAAAGGACACCACTCACAGTTGGGTGCCACATGAAAAATATAGATTCTAGACCGGTGCTTCTCACTACTAGACAGCTGACCTTGTCACTGAACCTTTTAGAGCTGCAGATTCCTCATCTGCCCAGCATGAGCTATGTCAGTGACAGTGAACCTTTCAGAGATGAGTGCCCAAGCTGCACCCAAAACCCACTTATTTATTACAAAGTGCCAACACTGCAATTAAACCTGAATATTAAGGTTTTAGTGTAGAAACAGACTATACATTGACATCTTTTGTCCTAAAAGAAAAAGAACACACGTGCCATAGGTTCGCCACCACTAGATTAGGTGATCTTGAAACATCTCCTAAGCCTTATGAGTTTCTGCACCTTTATTTTCTGAATAAAGTAGGGGTGGGCCTTCGCTTTTCTGAATTTTAAAAATCTCAGACACAACAGAGCACTACTGGTTCCAAGTTAATCCCAGTTGAGCACATATCCTGGTTTGGCAGACAGACACTGCCAGTGGTATAGCAGGTGGGCAGAAATCCCAGGAAACGTCTGGACACCACACAGCTATGGATGAACTGTCAACTGCTGGGGGTTACTTTGCAAATTGCCACATCTAAATGAAGCTGATGAAATGATATTTCAAAAAAGCAATTAACACTGATTCCTAGTGTTTGGAACCAAAAATCCTTTAGGGAAGAGTGAAATTGGCTTAGAAAGGGAGTATCCAGCTCTCTGTACAGAAATGTTTGAGCTTAAGGAGATTCTTAAATCAGGATCTTTCCATGCTTTTCTCGCATCTACACAGCCAGGGTCAGCCTGGGCTTTGTGAAGGAGTTCCTCTCATTTTCCTGTTGCTTCATCCAGCTTTCTCCAACTCGGGTTGCTGGTTGGTTAAACTTCCATCTAGTCATTCAGCAAACACTTATTGGGCACCTTCCATGTATCAGGTGCAGGGGATACATCTGGCTATTAAGGAGCTCATAATCAAGCAGTCCAATCATAAATGAATTAATGCACATTCAGAAGCTGAGGTCTATCTTCAGCATATAAAGCAAAATACTAGTGGTACCAGTAATATTAGCTCTGTAGGCCAAATATCATACTTGCTAGTGACAGCTGTCCCTAGAATATAGTAGAATCAGAGAGATCATCCCATAGCCCTGTAGGTATCGGCTTCTGTGAATCTGTTAAAGCAACTTCATTTTTCTTCCTATTTCACACGAAAGGCATTATATTAGAATACCTTCTGGATGAGGAGCATTGGCTCCAGAATGCCACTATAAATAGGAATATATGTATGTTACCTGACATAAAAGGAGCAGGCTGATTTGGGACAGCTTCTTCCTCTGCCTATTTCCAGTGAGTATATTAATACAGGCGGCAGGGGAGTGACAGAGATGGGAAAGCTTAGTGACAGCAAATTTTAGATGTCTCCACACCAGAAAAAAGAACCTAGAGGGTAGGTCAGAGACCTAGGGGATACAGGGACTGTCCACGGTAACAAGGGATGAGCCCAACCATAGAGTACAGCATACAAGCAGAAAAGAAGCAAACTATGAGCTAGGCATGGTGGCACAGGCTTGTAATCCCAGCACTCTGGGAGGCTGAGGCAGGAGGATCACAAGTTTGAGCCCTTTGAGCCCAGTCTTACCAACTTAGTGACTTAGCAAGACCTCTCTTCAAAAAGATTTGTTCTGTTTTTTATGATCGGGGATGTATCTCAGTTTGAAGCCCCTAGGTTCAATCTCTAGTGCCAAAGGGGAAAAAAAAGAAGCAACAGCAAACAATGGCTGTTGTTTCCTTCACATCCCAGATTAGTCCGAGGTCAACTGAAATGTGCCATCAAAAAGACCAGAAGCCCTCATGATGTTGGGATCCAGGTCAATCATTTCTGAAATACTGATTTCTAAAGAGGACTTCCTTATCATGTTGATCATTTTGTTTTCTTCCTGTATCTCTCCAAACAAGCTCAAAATGATCTCCTTTTCACCCCAACTCTACAAACAGTTTACAGTTAGTTACTAAATACATAGCACAAAAGTTGAAACCCTCTGACCTTTGGCTTAATTTTACCCAATTTAATATTCAGGGCACTGCTCTGATAGGACAAAAACTGGTCAGCATTATTAAGGGATTCTCTGTGAGCACATGCAGAGTGAAGTCTACAAGCAATAGTTCTCAGGCTGGTTGCGGAATGTTTAAATGTTCTCAGCCCTGGTTGCATTTTGGAATCGCCTTGGAATGTTTGAAGTTCTCCACACCACCCTCCGGTTATATGTTAGGGGTGGGGCCTAGGCAGCAATATATATTTTTAAGAGCTTCAGAAGATGTGTATGTGCCACTGAGGTTGAGAATTGCCCCAAGTTAGGGTCAGGCTAGTGAAGAGGCAGGAAATTACTGCCTCTTCCGTTAGGAATTCCTCCTGAGAAGTTGGCATCAAGAAACCTGACCTAGCAGAGGCATTCAACTTGGACATCCACTCTGAAAGGGTTTGACTTTCCCACCTCACCCACCAGCTCTACAATTATATAAAGAGCTGTGGGAACAGTAGCTAATCAGTGTTTCAAGAGAACTGGTAACAGGTGACGGTAGTATAAATACCATGCTCCAGAGATCTCACATCTTACAGTCAATCATCCATGCTATTTTTAAAAATCTTCCACCACTCAGTCTTTCCATCTCCTCATTTACCAATTTTCCTCTTCCCCTTCCTCTCTTTTCCTACCTGGCTGTCTGCTTTACTTGTTCTCCCACCCAGTCACTGTCATTCGTACTGCACTTATCCCTTGTCTCTCATTACCATCGGGGCCTCCCTATTCTCTGTGTCTGTCTCATTTTCTTTTACTGCAGCCCCTTAAATAGCTACTATAGAAAAGCATTGCCAGATTTTATAATTTACAAGATATTTTATGGTTGCTAGGCACAGTGGTATATACCTGTATGTAATTTCAGCTACTCAGGAGGCTGAAGCAGAGGAATCTAAGTTCAAAGCTAGCCTGAGCAACCTAGAGAGGACTTATCTCAAAAAATAGAAGGAGCTATAGGTGTAACTCAGTGGTAGAGTCCCCCTGGGTTTCATCCCCATTCCCATTATTAAAAAAAAAAAAAATATATATATATGGTAATTTTAGAAGCAATAAGTACTAATCATATATTTCTCCAAAGACCAAAAAACATGCTGCTCATAGTTAACACTCCTTAAACACTCACTATATTAATTATATTTAATAACTTTCTCCACTGGCCCTAGATTATTGAACTATTTATGTAGTTCATTGACCCTCTGTAGTAAAATGGTCCTCTGTTCTTCAGTAATCCTGACAACAGCAGCTGACATCAATGTAAAAAGAGAAACAAGCTAGAAACAGTAGTTGAGCATATACACCCTGAATTGCATATTCAGTTGCAAAATCATCATCATTATTATTGTAATTACAGAGGGGAGGCATTTAAATAATTGTTCAGAGTGTCTTCTAGAGGAAATAACTAAATCAGGGCCAGCTGTCACAAGCCAGTCTACAATAATGATCCCCGTATGTGCATCCTCAGTATTCATAGCAACTCTACAGTAATAAATTTATGCATTCATCTAATGTCCCTAAACAACCTAAAAAATAACAAACCTGTGATCATAGTTGGTGTCTGACTTGGGTCACTGACCTATGTTTTTAAACCGTGTCCCTGAATAACCTTAGCATCACGAACTGCCAAATAAAAATTACACCATCAATTCCATAACAACGAGAGTGGGTGGCCCAGCGTCCATCTCAAACATGATGACAGCAAATCTAGGTACCTGAGGAGAGTGGAAGCCAGCTCGATCAGCAGACAACTAAAAAATTTGAGAAAATGCATGAAGATAGACATGCTTTATTAAATTAAAAATTATAAACAAACACGAACTGTGGACGCCTTGCTTTTCGTTTACTCATGAAATCAGCCAAAAGTATTTGAGATCTTCCTCCTCCCAAGATACAGCTGTGAAATGACTAATGGGAATGAAGTGAGCCTGCACCAGGAACTGAATGTGCCACTTCACTGAGAACAAAAAATGCTCCCCTGATAGAGGCTGTCCGCGCAAATTAATACATTGGGTGCTTGAGAGAGGACCAGCCAGGTACGGATATGGTGCATTTGTAAAGAGCTAGAATTATCCAAGCCCCTTTGCAGATTTTCTCCATCTCTCGGTACCTTGCATCATGGTTATACCTTTAATTTCAAATTCGTAAAGAAACTCCAGAGAGAGGGAAAGTAAGAAGGCAAGAGAAAATTTATCATGATTTTTCCCTTGCCGGGCCAGTTGGGCTTTCCAAATAAGAGTCTTGCTAAAGGCTGGGCCGGAGCCATGTAAGAAGGGTGAATGACCCCAGATTCCTTAAGGAACTTGCTAGCTGCCCTGCTGCAGCCTTTCTAGGCTCTAAAAGTCATACTGGCTGTGTCATTTGCTGATTTGCATCCCCAGCTATAAAACGTTTTAACTCATATGCAACCTCATCCTGCTTCAGTAATTAAAATACTTTTTCTACAAAAGTATCAAAAGGGACACTGATTGATGTATTGAAAATTGTTTCAAGGGTAATCTGCATGGCTTCTTGTTGTCTTTATTGTTGTAAAAGTAAGACATGACCATAATAAAAATATATTGAAAGCCAGGCATAGTGTCGCATGACTGTAATCCCAACTACTCCGGAGA